CCCCCCCCCCCCCCCCCCCCTTCTTCCCAATCTATTGTTTTCTTCGAGAATTTTCCTCAATCCACTATTCACTCGGAATTCTGGTTTCTTTGTTGTCTATTGCCGAGGGAGCACGACCAGTATGCGCTCTCCTTCCGCAGAGGTTATGGCATACGGTAGATGTTGATGTACGTAGCAAGTGTTCGTTCACACGGACTAATCAAACTGACGGTCTTATAATTGAGGAGTGGCTAGTAATTTTTGTGATCAACTTCATTCGATCTACTTATCAGTTAGTCCGTAGATATAGTTCTTCTTTCTGATTCAGAATACTCTCATTCTTCTCTTTTCCGCTAATATTGAAGTCCTGTGGGTCGCTTTATGGTTGGACGGCATGCCTTATTTGGCTTCAATGACGAGCTCAGCATATGACGAGTGCGGCATGGTTAAAAAGATCGTGCGTACCCGAATTTAAGCGTTTCTCTTATTTTAAACGCAAAAATAATTCAATACAGATGGCATTTAAGGGAGCTGTTCGTAGACCTATCAATTTAAGGACCTTTCTTTGTGTGTTTACATTCGGGTTCAGTGGAACTCCTTCAAAACCTGCGCATGGCTTAGATCAAGGGTAAATTCGAGGCCCTATTCCAGTGGCAAGCCTTTTTTAAGATAATTAATGGGAATCGACTGTCATCATATCAGTTACAATATTTGCCGAATAGGTCGCGTTATCACCATTTTTTCAGATAGGTCATGTATTCCTTGTCAGTTTCGAACAACTGATTAGCTGTTGTGCACTTTCCTCTTTCCCTCTGAACTTTTACTCTAGAACATTCCATTTCAGATGCGTGAGAAATGGCTAGTCATGCATCAACCGTAGACGATCCGGAAAAACACTTCCTGGGTAATCTCCTCGATGAGGATTCATGCTACAACACACCACTAAATCAAGGTAAATGTGTCCTCCTAATCGTCTATGCAGAATAGCTTTTTCCTTTTTGACAAAGTTAGGGATTTCACTTGTATATGCTTCTGTTGGTGCGCTCTGCACTCAAGCCCTACTTGTGGTCAAATCGGGTTTTAGAGTAGTCAGAGACCCGTTAGGTTGTTATATTTTCAAAGTAAAGCAATCGGATGGGCTACATATGAAAAAGGATGACCGCTACTCTCAATATAGCAGGTTCACTGGCAACATTCGACCGCAAAGAAGTGCGTTCAAAGGTAAATTTTGTAATTCAGGGTCCTCCTCATCACCAGGAGCCATCCCTCCAGTTTCTGTCATCAGTGGAGTTGGACCAATCAGCACGAACAACTTGTTGAGATCATACTGGCCAGAACCACCTCCTCCGTATTCTCCACCAATTCAAGTAAGTTTCGCGTGCAAAACTATTACGTGCATGGGAGTACAAGGGCCTTTCCCGAATCTTAGAAACTGAGATTTTTCAGCCACAGTGGTGCAACACTGAGTATCATCCGTATCCAAAACCACCATCTTCCGACTTCCATATCCCAAGCGTAATCTCATTTTTGTCTATTTTATTTTTTCTTGTATTCGCATTGATTGAAGCGTTATCTGTTTGCGAAAAGAGCTCGTTATCAATGTTTGTTTACTGATTGGAAATGTGTTTCTGTCAAATGGGAATTTCTATCCTTTCCTAAACAAAAATGCATCAAACACAAAGCAAAGTGACTGGTAATTTAGGGGCAACCGACTTTCATCACCCAGCCCCAAATCCATCACCATCATCATAATCTTCATCATCATACGCACACTCATAATGTGGTAAGATTCCTTATGCGTCCACTAATTCCATGCTCGTTCGAAATCATACGCTCATTTCAGATTGAGAATCATCACCACTATCCCATTACTACTGTCCGAGTCCCCTCCCATGGCTATAGCGTCAATGTCTTAACAGAGAACCATCCAAATTTCACCAGTTATCATGTAAATGACCATGTAAACTATACTCCGGTCGAAAGTGCAAGAAACGTGGAAAACGACTGCTTGAACGAACCTTTCATTTCTAGTTCAGCCATATCTTCACTGAATAAACCAGTTTTGAGGTTTGTGTGTTTTTACTCTTTTCGCGATAAAAAAATCTTAAGAAGTCATGCGTCCCAATTTTACTTCCCTGATTCAACTTCGAAGTGATTTTATTCTTTAGTTACCGTGATGTTGCCGCTAAAATCGACCAAGGCAGTGGAGGCGATAATAATTCAGCGGCACAGGTACTTCCTACGATCATTTTCTTTTGTGCCTTCATAATTCATAGCCGATAAAGAACAGGTTATTTTTGCATACCGTTTTAGGGTAAAAGACTTCAACCACAGTCAGATTTGGACAACCGATCGTGCTCTGCAAAAGCCCGCGACTTCGTCAGTACTGAACATACCAAACAAAGTCGTAACCATCGTGAGTTTATTCCAAATGATGTAATCAGTACTATTGCATTTATTCCTAGGAGATCGCAAGTCCAAATCCGCTCAAGTGGTCGAGTTCCAAAAAATCACTAGGAAAAAGGTCCCAGTAAAGAAGGAAAAGGTACTGTACAACTTTCATCAGAAGCCTCATTTGAATGTAACGACTTCTCAGATTACACGATGTGATTCTGCAAATGTGCTTGCAACTGAGAAAACATCAGCCGTAGATACTCCGACAAAATATGAGGTATGTTGTATTTTGACGTTTTGTTTTTCTACGGCATACTCTGTGATCACCGATTTTTGCGGGAGTGTGCACTGAGTATGCCTGCTTGAAAGTGGGGGACAGGAGCGCCAGGCCTCACTGTGACGAAAGGGGTCAAAAAACGCCGACGTTTAAGCCTTGGAATCACCCATTAACCCTCTTTTGTGCATCGTATTTGAAGCCAATGTTTAAGTGGTAGCGTGCATTGAGATCGCAGTAGGGTAATTAAAGGTGAAAGCTGCCGAGTTAGCGACACTATCGGTCAGTTTAGATGATGTCTCGCACATTTTTTATGCTTGCTGGGTGCCTTACGCTTTCATTTTTAAATTCAAACCAACTATAAACTCCCTGCAGTCGCCGATTGAGCCTTTGCGTTACTTTCTTGTGATGTTTCTCGGTTTATGTGAAGTGTACCTTTAGGTTCTACAAAATTTGACTTCCAAACCTTTGAAGAGCAACGCTAATGTTGAAAATATTCTCGTAACAAATCGCGAAAGAGGTAAGTTTCTGCAGTAATCTTTTCAGTACAGTAAGTGTACTGTTTTTGTAATTAAGAGCCGGTAAGAGCAACAATGGTCTACAACGAGAGGTCGCGGTCCAGCTCTTTACTCCCAAGTATTTCGTTTTACTTTTTTCACCCAAAACAACTTCATAAAACTATTTTATTTCCTCAAGCTTTTGGTTCCATTCCCTTTTCAATTCAAGGAACTGGTCCTGGCACTGTGATTGACGTTGTAGCTCGTCCGAAACGCGCAGTTGATGTCGAGAAGAAGAAGCAGGCGCATGGCAACGTTGTGAACTCTGCGCAACAGAGGAGGCGCGCTGTCCGTAAGCGAAGCGAATTCGGATGGATGGAAAGATCGGGTGACTTTTGAAGCTCGTTGTGTTAATATACGAAGTTCTTTTCTGTTCTCAATGGCTTGATTTACTATATCGTTCCTAAGGTTCCAATTTAGTGGTTGTGGTTTCTCGCCTAACGTTTTGGATGGAATTCATATTCAAGTGGATTTTGAACCTTGTCGTCGATGTTTCTTTCCAAATTTATGACGTCATATCTTACAGGTTTGTTTGACGTTCATTTCGATAGTATTGCCTCCTCATTTGCGGAGTTTATGCAAATTTGAATCTTTTATGTGTATTCTTGATCCTTATTACACATTACTATTATACATAATCTTAAGAAAGCAAACCGTTCAGATAAACTTGAAAACGTTGCCTTTTTCAACAGAACGTTGTTTTCAAAATAAACATTGCCTATTAATATGATGGTCTCCTGTTTCTCTAAGCATATCCTTGTAGTATGGCGCATCTGCTGGAATCTATACATTCTTCTGCGAGGCGCATGCTGCTTTCAATGAACACTTCCGTGATGTGGGTTTCTTTTGTTAATCCACCTATTAGTCTTGTTTTATACCTAGTGAGAGCTGGCGGCCTCCAGAATGTAATTAGTTTATCACTCAATGTTTCACCATTTCTGAGCCAAATGGCCGAAGAATGGTGGTACTTTAGTTGAGAGTAACTGATTACGAAAACACCATTTATTCCTGTTTTAATAAGCTCTCTAGGAATGAAAGTAGTCGTGTTGGGTAAAATTTTTTGATGTTTCAAGTGATTTCCCTGGATGTGGAGCATTGCAGATCAGGGATATCATCTATCCGCCAGTTAGATGTAAGACGCCTTCTCCGATCCCAAGAGCCCGAGGCGCTTTTGTGGGGCTTAGAAGAAACCATAACATTGCCAACTACAGGTAAAATGCTCATTAATTTCATTAGAATTACCGAAGTGTGGTGCAGCCTGAGCAGGTTTGCCATCGTGCCCTCATTTTGAATGGCGGTGTATGGCGTTCTGATTACCTTTTCTTTATATTAGGAGAAGAGGCCCTGCAACGGTTTCTGTGCGCATCGAAATGTCAAGACGCATATGGTGTTCTTGGGCTACAGGCTTCATGCACAGAAGAAGATGTCCGAAGGCATTATAAGAGGCTCAGTGCGCTTTTGAATCCTGAAAAGGTGTTGCTATTGTTCTACTCGGTGTGGGGGCTACCTGTTCAGTATGTATCTTCCTCTGTATCGCTTTTGTTTTTGCAGAACATGCTCGAAGGGGCGGAGGAAGCTTTCGAGTTGGTGGCCAAGGCATATCAAGCTATCTCAACACCAGAGGCGCGAAAAACCTATAATTTCACTCGCATCCATCCTTGCAAGAGTGACTTGGTGTGTGGCACACTTCTTCATATCTTACCTATCCGTGATGGTCCAGTGGGATTTTTCCGAATCAATATTTACCAAGAAAATTCTTGATTGTTCAGCATCACGACATTGGCAAACTATGGGATCGTATTCGTGAACGGGTGGAAGAAGCTCGTAATTCCATGTATTGCGACTGTGGTCGTCGGCATTCCAGAATTGCGCTCGACATTCGTCCAAACGAAGCACGTTACTGCCGTCGCTGCAAAACACGTCATCCAGCAAGAGCGGTATCTTTCGTACTTTTTTGTCTGATTTAGCATCAAGGGGTTTTTTGGTAGAAACTAAATTTGTTACATTAATTAACGTTTGTCAAGCATTTCATAGAAACCCTATCGATTAATGTGCAAATAGTTTGTTGGTGAAAGCATCCTTACTGAAAGAATATTGTTGCTAAGAATTCTGGAATGGAAGCGATCGCTGCGTAGCCATAACCATTACTGCTACATTGCATTAAGGCGAATGCGAGCTCTGAGATTTCCACTGTAATGACAATTCGCTACAATCCCTACTACAGCATTGCCATTGACTACATCTTAATGAATTATTTTTGGGGAATTACTTTTGGCAAAATTGTGGAACAGAGGTAATAGTGCACTTTCATTTGAAAGGAGTAACGACGTCCATAATGTCCTTGATATGACGAGGAGAACTCAACCTACGAGGATAGTGCTGAACATTATTTTGGAAACTAGCATTTGATAACTTATTGACGTTCATTTGTCAACGTTAGTGACTGCAATGATTTTTACCCATTTTGTTCTTTTTTAGAACGATATCTGGGTGGAAACCCGCCTCTGCGGACTTTTTTGGGTATACTTTACGTGCTGCGATGGAATAGTGTACGATATAACCGATTGGGCAACTTGTGAGGTAATAATCAAGTGCATCATTAATCGACTTTGTGAAAGCTACATTTTATGCTATCCACTCATGGTCAGATGATTATTTAGGTGAATTACTTAAAACATGTTCGACCAAATTCACACACTGTGCAGTATCGTCTTGTTTCTCCTGGTCGTTCAACAAGCGATGTTCCATCACAGAAGCATCATAATGAGAAGTTGCGAGAGCTAGCCGATGTCGCGGAAGAACTGCGATTTGATTGGGGTTCGCCCTCTTGGCTAATTATTCAGCTTTTATTATATACCCTATACCGGACGTGTCAGATTCTGAAATACGTGATAGGTCAGGCAGTAGAAGTAGGCATGTGAATAGGATTATCTGTGAGGTTTGGTTGCTGAACAGAGGGCCGGACTGTATATCAGTGGCTGTTTTTTTACACGGTCTACACAATTTTAATATGATAAGATAAAAGATTTAGGCCGTCCTGGACATGCACAGGTATCGTACTTGCCGTTAGAGCCGAGAGATGAGGACCGTTCCCGTCGTGCAGCAAATCGTCGCCAAAAGAAGTGGCGTTAACTTAGCTAAAGTTCCCATCCGCTTCCAAAATCTAGGTTTGCACTAGCCTTTCATATTACTGGAAAACAAAACGTAAAACGCTTTTTTTTNNNTTTTTTTTGTAGTCCGCTTTTAGTTTTGTCCTAGTTTATCACTATGAAAGGTCTACACTATGAGGAACGATCGTATGTCATTTCAGCCCTCTAAACCCTGTTATTGAAATAGCTTTATTTTTCATACGCTCTCCATTACAACAAGATTCTGTTCATTTTCTATTAAATGCTTTACATGTTATTACTATACCGCGAATTCCCTGCAGCTTCGCCCTTTTCCTTTCGTTGGGTTTCAATTATGTGCTTTTTTCTGCTCTTATTCTCGTAAAATTACGATCGGCTCAATTGATATCACTTTGTAATGGTTTCTGATAACTGCCGTTGGCTTGCATTGATCCTATCATTATTGTTAAATACCCTCTCAACGCTGAATGCAAACTTCTTAGAAGCAACTTTAAATGATACGTAATGAGTTTCTGAACTACAACGCCTCCGGTTTGCTGTTCGCATAATAATCCTGCATTTTGCTAGCTAGTTAAAGTCAGAAAAATGCATTTCAACTCTGATCCATGTGAAGTATCATTTCCGATAAAGTAGTTTTGTAGACTGTACAAGGACGATAAGAAGATTTATCAGAATCAATATCCCAGCATAAAGGAACCGTACTCGTACATGGGATAACAGCTCAATCATTTTATTTTTTATATTTTCAAATTCGTGGCTATGACTGATGAATGGTTAGTGTGTTTGAATCGGAGAGATAGTAATGAGTTTCATGGTTTCATTCCAAATGAACTCGGACAATACTAGATTCAGCAGAAACAACCTAGTATTCATGGTTTTTGATGGTTTTCGATGGATGCAGCGAGCGTTCGATAGCGAGAGTTGGCTATGCACGTGGCCTTGCGTTTATACTTTGCCGCTTGTTCGATGTGGCGATTGAGCGTTACCTAGGGAGGCAGCGATGCCTGGCGAGTATTTGTTATATAGGATAAAATCTTCTGGTGTTAATCAAGGATGCAGATGAAAGGCTTGGTTGTCTTAGGCGGATATCGATCCGGGATTCGAACCTGTGACCATCCGGGTATGTCAGTACGCCATTGGCCCTACGCTACCTCCACCCATCTTTCCCAATGAGGAATGCATTAGCAAATTCGTCATGCACGAGGTCTTCCATTGTCCCAGTTCATTTGAAATATCACATAATACAACTGTGAGATTCGCTTGTTAACAAGTTGTTTGGAATTTTCCTTTTGAGAGAAAAATGAGCTGACTAGAGAAAAACAACAAATGCGATGACTCTAAAGAGATTCTGCTAGGGCTCAAGATGTTGCCTATAAATTGATAGCAGAAGAAGTTTTGTACTTTTCTTACGTATCATGAGATGGATGTGTGGTGGGAGTTACATTCTGCTCACGGCGTACCGTGATTCTTTGCTAGTTGTCTCACGGTGCAGCCGTTTAGATCTCTCAGCCGGGACCCTCATGGATACTCTCAATTTCCCACACAGATTACTCGATTTGGAAATCGCAAATTTTCAGAACGGCTAAGGAAGTGGGATTTTGCCGCTCGCTTACTTTCACAAAAAAAGTATTAATTGTAGCTAAAAGTTGGAAACCCGATTTGTAACCATGATTACGGGAAACAGGTACAATCCCTATGTCAAAAATGAGGTCCTATGTCACAAAAATATCTACATCTAGAAATCACCGATCTCAACGAGAACAGAAGATGAATGTGATTTTCGTTGGCATAGTTGTAAGGGACCATGGAAAAGTGTAAAATTCATGGAACCCATGGTTCAGTAAAGTCGACGACGCATCTTCTGCGGACAACTGCTGGGCCATTCGAGTCGATTGTGAAAGAGATGAGGTGGTGGAGCGTCTTTCTCAAAGTATGGCACCACTTTTGCCCACCATGACCTGTAAAAGAGCGGGGTTCATTCCCAGAAAGGAACTAGATGTAATCGGAAACTTACCACGACAGTATGTTCTTTTCCAGGCTATTTTCATGATATGAGACCATTAGAGCATGGTATTCCATGAAAACTCTTGTGGATACCGTATACCTGAAAATAAGCGGGATTGTAAGTGACTAGTCCTCCCAAACCTATAATATCTTAGCTTTGAGATAAAGGATAAAGTTGGCTCGATCAATCCTGTTCCTGGGATGGGCCTCGCCGACATCGATGTCCACCCAGGCCAACAAGTGTTTAACCTTCTATACAGATATGCCCGGGGNGGGGAGTAAAAGCACTGACTTTTGCAGTACGATTCTGAATGGAAGTCGAATGCAGGGCACATCCCAAAAGCGGAATTGATTTACGCCAGAGAATCTTTGACTTCATTCCAGCTTAGTGAACTGAGCACATAGCAAATCTCAGATTCCTCCTTTCACATTTTGCCGTCATAAATAAACAGTTGATTTTAAACTCGAACCACATAGTTTTGTTGAGTTGAGCGTGGAGGTCAAGCCGTAATCCCCATAAAAGCACAGTTTACGATAAAATGGTTAATGAGATTTCCCCATAGGGTGAATTCAAGCCCCCTCGCATACCATATCTGGCACTAAAAGGTCGGAAAACGGCCTAGTCAAGGAGTTATAAAGACTCAAAGATTGGCCTGCGTGTATTCTCGGACGAGTTTCACCGGCATTGTAGAGGCTGCACCTATCACAAGGTAGCCCATGTAGGAAGTTTAAACAAATTGTCATGACCCATGGCGACAGTGAAAGGCAGTTCTGTACAGTTCTGGCTTGATATAGTCAGATTTTTGCGTAATTGCAATAACTGAAATCTCGTCCGAATACCCCTTCCATGTTATTTCCGTCATGGCAATCTCGTCCAACCTCTATTTCCCCTACTTTTGAGGAGCCTTTTTTCTCGAAATCTGCGAATTCTTTCACTTTTTTTGATGAACTATTCCCAATCTGTACTCCCGCTATTCGAATAAGAACGGGTACCTCAAAATTATCGTGAACTGTGCCTTTAAGCCTTGTGGGGCAAGTGTGAGGCAAGTGAATTCTGTAAGTTACTAGCTTCCTGAAAGTGAGTCACCAGAGCGATACGAATGCCTCCCTGACTGCTGACAATGGTCTGATAGTAACCGTGCCAGGAACTGACTCATGGCAAACAGAAACTACTTGGTGTTGATGTCTAGATCTCTGCTCTGTTTACTGAGTGACTGAGGGTTGCCGGTAATTGTCAGGAGTGCCGTTTGTGATCAATGGTCTTTGCTGCAGCCTGGGTAAGTCCGCCCCCGAGAATCGGCAACAAATCATATTTTTAGTCATCAATTTAGCGAGAGAAATGAATCACTGATACTCTGCACAAATAGACCTTTCAAGGTAGCTACGAATAGCAAACGTCTAACTAGCAAGGAGCAGGTAGCGATACAAAGATCATTGATCACACATCATCCAAGCTATACACTCCAAAGAGCCTTTGATTGGACTTCGTTTTCGGATTACTTTCTGCAGAATGCTTCACATAGTATTAGCACCTTTGCTTTATAAGTTGGAGGCACAATTCACGATAATTTCGAGGTACCCAGTTTTCGATTAGCTATGAAGGCAACAGTCCAGAATAGTGCAAAATAGGCCAAAAACGCGAAACTCTTGAATATTCGGGGAATTATAAGGCTCCAGAAAAGAAGTTAAATCAGTGGTTCGACGATGATGTGACGACAAATGTTGCATGAAAGGGATATTTGGACGAGCTGTCCAAATATGTGTGCAATGGCATACAGTGGGTTACAATAAGCTGCCTGCAAACAACTTGGGAATGGTGCATGCAACTCCTACAGCCTCTACAACGCCGTAAAACTCGTCCACCTTTGGGTGCGTGCGTCGGCTAAGCCGTCCTTAGGACTCTCTTTTCGCCCTATCTGGACCGTTTTTTGACTCGGCAGCGTGCCTACTATTCTTGGGGATCACAGATTCGTCTTAGCGAGTCATTCTCAGGAATCATTTTCATAATGAACTGGGCCCTTGATGGCGTCAAGCTTCACTGATCGTCATTAGCTCCCTTGAATGAAGATTGATTTCGTCAAACACTTACCCTAGGAGAACATCGATTGTATAATGCTTTCTAGCAAAGAGAATAGCCAATACAGCCATGACAGCCAACATATTCAACATATGCGAAAGGGGCTGAAAAAAGTATCGTTTTCAAACTTTGAGAACCATGACATTAGGGCATTGAGGGCCGCGCAGTTTCCCTACACTTGAACCGCAAAAACGAACTTCATATCTCCCAGGGCTCAGAAGACTAGTTGAAGATATGTCTATGATTTCTAGATCTATAAATCCCATTTTTGCGGATGGATTCTTTTCTTCAAAAAAAATTCCACAGTGCTCCTTTCCATTGAGCCCTGCACTTTTCATGGCTAACCCTGATTCTTAAGTCAACATCTATTTGGAAAAAAGGCTACTTTCGATGTACTACAATGTATTAGCAGACTGACTGCAAGAAGTAAGCTAGGGACATCAGAAGTTTAAATATAAAATCATACCTTCAACTTCTTTGGTGCATAATATTTAAAGGTATAGAAGGATGTGAAAATTGTTAGCGTGTGACCGGATACAATCAGATCGCCGCAAAGTTCTCGAGGACGTAGTTGCTGAAAGTATAGGATTGAGCTCGAAATTCCACGAGGATCTATTAAACTAGGCAATCCTTTTTCTTACCACCTCAACAGTTCCGTAGGTTTATGAATACCCGTCCATGGTTTAGAAGCTGGGAGAGAAAGCTGTGGGAATGAGGCTTATGGGAAGATAAACTGATTAGCTGGTTGAAAGTCAGGAAGAGTTTAAAAAATTTGAGTTCTTCGTGATATTGGAGAATTCAACTGATCTGATGAACTAGGAAAATAACAGTCCCAGATGGATGAGAGGTCTACTGGAGACCTATTCTGAGGCGGTAACGTGTGGCCAAATAGCCTTAGTCTGTGAACCTTAGGTTTATCACCCAATTCACCGATATGATAGAGAAGTACAATAAAAGTTAGTATGTGATCTGAGGAGATAGCAAAAAGAACTTCTTAAGGGGAATCGTTTGTGGAAACCAATGTATCATCGTAAAAAAAAGTTTTTGTCGACGAATACTTCTCCTAGACTTTGATAAGACCCCTCCGGGGACCGGGGCAGGGCTTCGAAAGAGACCNAAGAGACCTCATCATCATTAACAGTCTTCAAACATAGTAAGTCCATCTATTACCTATCACATCAAATACTCGTAGTGAACAAGAAAATGGCTATCAAACGAGGGCTTCCCCTGGTATGGTATGGTTTCCCACAGTGATTCGGACGGGTACAAATGAAGGAGGGGGTAGGTTGTCTGGGAAAGCGAACTGATTTGATATACCCTTATGTAAGCTAAACGAACAATCTTTTCCCAAAATCCCCATCCATTCATGATTACTTTAGTGCCAGGTCGTTGAGATCTTTCTTGGGCCAAAGACTAAGATAAGTTCTGACGATAAAGTAATCATGCGATTCTATGAAGTGGCGGAGCGATGAAGAGCTTCTAGCTTCTAATTATTTTCACTGTATTTACGTAATTGCGTGCGTTTTCCAGTTATCTCCTCTTTTCCTAAAGAGCAGTTCTGTTGGCTTCGCTTTTTTGCCGTAAATGTCACAGAAGTTCAGTGGGATGAAGTAGAATCCATTTCTCTCAGAAAACTTTCTTTCATTCATAGGCTGAGCTTTTTTAAGCACGACATAGACGTCATTGGAAAGTAACATTTCTCTCGGAAGACAGTGGAATGAAGACAGAATGCTTCTCGTTTAGGAGAATGGACTGCGTAGTGGTCTGGAAGAGTCTCACTAGATTGTCCCACTTCTCCGTACTGAAGCATTAAACTTATGTTTGCTAATCGGCTAAACTAACTCTTCTCCAAATGAGATGCTTGTTCAACGGCAATAAAGAGCCGATTTCGTTTATGTTGATGTTTTCTAATGAACGACATTCAGCAGAATCTCATCGACGACTCTAGAGGACCATTGATAGCACAAAAGATGACACAAATGCTTTTCAGCTCACACATGAGTAATATATGAATAACTTAGTAGGTAGAAATGTAGATATAAGTAATATGTTAATGAGGTGATCCCATGTAGAACAAGTGAATTCATAAATGTTGGACTCTGAACTGCACCTGCTTAGCTGTAAACTTGCATAGCTGTGAACCATAGGAGCTCTTATGGAGCTATCTGGAGGCAAATTTCACAAAAGTATTAACGTTAACTTTTGGCATTCTACAGCTGTGGTGTTGGAGTTTGACCGCAGGAACCCCTCAAACATTCCATTCCCCCCNCCCACTCCCCTCGTAAAAATTATTCGCCGACATTTTTTCATATATGATCACAGTTGATCACAGTCCCATTCCGAAATAACAGATATTAAACAGGTAATTATTGGGTTTGATGCTACTTTCGCAGTATTCCATCTCTTTTAAGTATGGGTGGACAGCTTCTTTTTACTGACTACTCCTGAAGATGAGAGCAATCTTCTGACAAAGTGACAAAGGAAGAATATAAGAAAGCCGTTCCAATGTTTCGGTGGAGTGCAGGAACTGGGGGCCTGCACTTCAATTTAGGCGTCTCTCCCCAAGGCAAGGGTCCCATTAGGGATTCATGCGATTCGGTCTATGTAGGAAAATGGTTCTATGCGATAGTACACCGTTACTAGTGATTTTTCCATTTCATTCGATTTCGGCTTCCTTTTTGTCACTAGCCGATTAGTCTAGGCGCTCAAAAAAGGGTGGTTGCTTCGTAAGCAGCTGTCGGGTGAGCGAAGAGTTTCATGACTTCATATCATCTCTCTCATAACGATAATGACTGAAGCCTGCGCGTTATCGAGGTTCCCATGTCGGCCCAATGTAGCAGAACAATCATATGAAGAAGGGTATTGAGTAGAACAAATGAAGAGAAAATTTCGGATCAGTTCTGGATAAAAGGGAAATCCCAACCAAGATTCAGAAGGGAAACGAGGACCATTCTATTCACATGAGGATCCACTGTATCATGCTCAGAAGTTCAGGAGTTTTTTAGATCTGTTGCGCTTAAAACATCGATCTACAGGATTGCCTTCTAGGAATTCTCTTAGACTTTCACGATTCATCCGGAAAGACTGAAGCCGTCAGAGGAAGGCTTTTTGCAGAGCCGATGTTCTAGCTACAGGATTCAAAATACCGTATATGGACTTGGGTATATAGGAACTATAGGTCGATGCCAAGCGTTTAAACCCTTACTCTGTTTCTTACACGCGCTGTTACCCTTTCTACCAGAGTAAATGTTTTTGAATGTAAAGTAAGATAAGAATTGTTCCACATCGTCCGCAATTTCCTACAGTATCTATAAATAAATTTACCGATACTGTAGGATCTTCCTTAAATACAGAATTGGTTCATTCCGTATCCGCAGATAGTCCTGCAGCATTGGTATTTTTGAATTTATTGTTCTTATTGGTATCGATATTTCACCTACAAAACGGCTTCTAAAAGCTGCACTGCAATGAGAATCAGCCAAACTGCAGCATCAGCATCTGAATGTACTTTGACTGACATCAGCAAATGGAATGATAACGAAGTTCGACGTCGTAAATGGGATTGCCCCTTGATTCCTTTTCAGCTTTAATGTCAATAAAACTGCCGATAAACAACAACAACAACGGCCTACCTCGATTCCGGCGCTCCAGAACATTCTTGCCACACGAGCCGACACGATATACCATGATCCATTGCTTTTTGGAGCACAGTAAGTGTGAACTGATGGGACTGGCACCTGAAATAACTGAGTTTTCACCTTTGCTCGGTTTACATTTTACTTTCCAACAAATATACCATCCAGCGAAGGATCGCAACGTTCATGGGGGACAGAGAACGATGAAAGTTCTTGCTACTGATTTATTCGTTTATTGACTTTAGGTTTTTTTCCCAACGTGGTAGATAACCGTGGAAACCATGTGACTTCTGCTCACGTCGAAGATGCCATTAATATTTATATAGGAGGACTTTTGTCATTCGAACTCGTAATCTAATGATTCCTTCTACAAGCGAGGTGCTCGAAATCATGAATTTGCCCATTAGAAGCCCACATGGTCGCCAATGCTTCTTTTTTGCCTTGGATTGAGGAAACCTACCAATGTGTGAGTGAGTAGTGCCCAAATCATAAACTACTGAGCAGAATCGATCCATATTTGTCATAGAATTAGGTGTTTGACATTTTTCCATGAACCTGCCTTCAATCACTGGACTTCCTCTGTATTAACCAGCCAATTTACCTATGGTAGCTGGTCATCGCAAATCATCTGCAACATCTTTACTAAAGCATCCTTCGCAGAGTGTTCATGGTGTTACGGTGATAACAGGAGCCCATTACCACGCGCAGATAATCTAAAAGCGGATCCCAGACTCCAAGGACCGAATTCCGGGTCGATACTCGCCCACCCAGGCTAAAAAAGCCTTCCGTCCCTCCGGAGTCGGTTGATTCGTGCCAGACTCATTTGGTAGGATGATAGCGCTGGTTTATACCTCGGCTGTTCATCACAAATCATTGTATAGACCACATAGGCAATCGAACCGTCACTATGATCAGGTGGGAAGGTCGAAAGGAGTGGCACTCCCAGATCCGAGATTAATTGACTCCAAGGGAGACATGTCCGTTTCTCTCCGTATAACACTATGGAGCTGTTGATTGCCGTCCATGTGCATTTGGGTTCCTTCAAATTCTCCTACCTCAGAGCCGGACAAGAATAGGAGACATGGGAGTCGTCCAGATAAGAAGAATTTGAACACAGTTCCAGGCACTGGCGTTTCCCAGTGTATTCCTTGAGCGTACAAAAAATCAAATGGGGTTTATCCCGTCCGGGAGTCAAATGCAGGGCGCATTTCTTGGGAAGCATCCAGCGCTTTTCTTTGAGACGTTGAGGGAGTACTTCAAATAACGAAATATTCAATCCTATATGTATGTAGCTCTCAAAGAAAATTCTTCTAGGAGTTTCCTTTCAAGCGAACTCTCCCCCAGCTTCTACCCTTTCAAGTTCACCCAGTTGTTAAGCATTAGCGAAGGTAACAGAGAAAGTCACTCCCGATTATGATTAACGAGTTATTATGAGGTCGTAAACGACTAATTTCCAGTCTCGGCTGTAGCCATTGGTTCGCTGCTTTATGATGATGGCAAATGAGGAAACGAGAACGTGTGCCAGTCACAATGTAGGAATTACTGGGAACAGGGTTGAATACTGTCTGTTGGGTATATTGATTTCACCTGGAATATTGTTATGCAGACAGCTCGAAAACAGTAGGACAATGCTGCACAGAACAGGATTCGTCGCGAGACCACCCACCTGAAATAGCAGGTAGAAAATGAATAGAAAGGGCATCAATAAAATATGGTGCAATCAGAACTAGTTAGCACAAAAAAACAATAAACAAATAAACAAAAACTATGCAATCCAATCCAACCTGTGTTGATGCGTTACGATGACTACGATGGCATTCACCACAAGAATAAGCATGATGTACTCGGTTATCCTAATGGCTCCCTTGACCTGAAAGCCAAGGCATTAAGGGATTGTCGCCCATTTGGGTTTAGCTAATAATTCATTCGTTTTCCTTCGCACTTATCTCCCATCTTACCTCGGGAAACCATGAAAACCACAAATCGGGCAATGGAGGTGAATCTC